AAAGGAGCTTTGGTTTCTTTCTTTCTTTTCTTTTTAAAAATAATTATTTTATTGAACTTTATTTATTTATTTATTTATTTTAATTTGACCAGATGGGGGTGGGGGAGAGAGAGAGAGAGAGAAAGAGAGAGAGAGAGTGAGAAGGCAAGCCTCCAGGTCCAGGACTCGAACCGTGGTCAGCCACATGGGAGTCCAGCCCCCTTAAGCACCACGCCACCTGCTGGCCCTGATTTTTTAATTTTAAAAAGTTTATTTAGTTATTTCTTGAGAAAGAGACAGAGACAAAGACAGACAGACAGAGAGAGAGAGAGAGAGAGAGAGAGAGAAAGAGAAAGAGAAGAGCATCCCTGGCAAGGTCTTCGCGCCCTGCAGCCAGAGGGATCATGGGTACACCTATACCTGTGTGCTTAGGTAGCCCTAGACACGAACCCAGAGCCTTCCCACATCACACAGCAGCACCCCTACTGCCTGTACAACTGTAGCTGGGCCCTTTCTTCTCTGAGGCCTTGAGGTCACTCCCTCACAGCAGTCATCCTGGCTTCTTGAAGTGGCTGGAGATTTCAGGGAAACCAACACCCCTCTGCAGAAGCTTCTCACTCGTCCCATCCCTCAGCCTCCCCTGACACAGAATCAGCAAGGTGGGTGGATAGAGAGATGGGCTGCTGCTTACGGGGCAGAGAACCAACTGACGCCCCTTGGGGACCTGCCCTGAACTTGTCTGGCCTGAGGGTGTGGCAGCTGGGGCTAGCTGAGAAAGACATGCAGCTATCTCCACCTGCCTGGCTCCACACCAGCTCCATGGAGGCTGGGCCTGGAGCCTGGAGGGTCATGTGACAGGCCAAAATCTCTGACAGTCACTGCCAGCATCACTCTAGCCTTCTGACTTCTTCATGTGTTCCAGGAACTTTTAACACCACCTACACTCAGGTGACACTACTGGGCCCAGGTGGAGGGTCCAGGCTGCTGTCTGCCTAAATCATTACAAAGTTCAAGCACAGTGGGTGACAGCAGTGCCTAGGCCTTGCTAGACTGGACCCATGACATACATTAGGTGACCAGAAGCTGGGGTGCAAGAAGCGCTCTATCCTCGCCAACCCTCTGAGGCCTGTCTGCTCACAGCTACTGTGGGCCGTGTCCGCAGGCCTGCTCTGCTCTCCCGAGGCTGCTGTGAGGACAGCCGGGATGAGTGGCACATGAAGGAAGGATGAGGGCCGAGACCCCTGGGGTTGCTGCAGTGACCCCACAGGGGCTGAGGCAGGATGGCCTGTCCCCTCCCTTCTGGTTGCTGAGCACTCACCCTCTCACCCTTTGGTCCTGCTGGGCCTGGAACTCCGATTGGTCCTGGAGTACCCTAGGGAGGTGGAAGAAAACAGAGGTGAGAGCCCTGATGCTGGGGGAGCCCGGGAGCTCCACCCGATACCTGGAGATGAGCAGGGTCAAAGGCCCAGTTTTCAGGGTTGGCAAGGCCTGGCTCATTCAGGGTGGTCATTTGACTGGGCCATGATCCACTTGGGTTTGGGTTTGGGGACCTCGAGAGAGAGAGCACCTCCCCTGCCTCAGAGCCAGATTTGTGGAATGAAACCCTTTCACTTCACTACCAAGCTTGCCAAGGCTGAAAACGGGGGAGACAGTTGTTTAGTTTGCTCCCAGAAGCACTTGGGAGGGAGTCGACCCCATCCCAGGGGTGGGGGCCAGGGCAGCACCCCATTGCTGACGCAGCTCCACATGCAGCAGGAGGGTCTTCATGCCACAGAGACCGATGCGGACGTACACACAGAGGCAGGAGTGAGAGGTCATCACCCACCCCACCTGCCCCCACTGTGGACCCCTGGCCCTGGCCTCGAGATGGGCTGGATTGGAGATTGAATGAGTGTGCCCTGGCTATCTGCCCTGGATGCCTTCCCTGACGTCCACCCTGGTGCTAGCCTGGCAGGGAGGTGTACCACGAGCTCTCCTGAGTCAGGGATCCAGGGCAGCTGGGGGCCGGGCCATTGAATTGCATTGCTCGGAGATGGCTGAGCTTGCCATGGCGCCATCAGACTTTTCTCTGGGTTCCTGGTTATAGCCTGACTAGACCAAGCCTCTCCCTCAGAGCCTCCTGCCACTCTGCCTTGGCGTCCAGATGAGGACATGAGTACCATGTGCAGGTCCCAGTGTGCTGACTGAGAGAGGTCAGGTGGTGGCAGAGCAACACCACAACTGGGCCCGCATGGGAAGCGTCCAGACTGGTGTCTGGGAGCCTGCCTGAGACATGCGAGGGATGGGACTGCAGGTGGCTCGAGGGGAGAAGACCCCTTTGGAGGTCCTGTTTCACTATTTTGCTGTCCTCTGCCTCTCTCTCTCTCAGAATAAATAAATAAACTTAAAAAACCTCAATGAAATATTCTTGGTGTTCCCTTTGCAACTCTAGAGGAAGGAGGGAAGCTCTGGGCCCTCGCAACAAGAGCACAGCTGAAGGTAAGAGAGGCCAGATGAGTGCAGTGGTGTTCAGCACAGGCTCTGAAGCCCCCGGGCCAGCCTCAGCCCCACCTCAAAGGCCTAAAACTCCCTATCTGGGGGGGACTTCTTAGTCTTTCTGGGTGGCTTTTCTCATCTGTAAAATGAGGACAGTGACATGAGTGTCTGCTCCTTGGCTGCAGCCAGGTCGAGAAGCTTGGTTGCATGTCAGACATTCACTGCTGAGCCTGACACCCCAGAATTACCTGTACATGTTACTACTGGCAGGGCAGGATGATTTTTTTCCACACAAATTTTCATTTAGGGCTGTGATACTGACTTTATGAAATAAGTGAAGCCTCAGGTCCAGGGGGACAGAGTGTATGAGCTGCACTGCTTCCCTCTGTCCAGTGTTTATGGGGGAGGCAGTACATTGCCTACCTCCGATTCTAGCCACGGGTCATCTCTAACCCTAATTTTGCACCTGGGATGGGTGTGCCATGTGAGGGGATGATGGGAGACAGGGACCGTGGTGGGGAGGCAAAGTTACTGGGTTGTTGGAAACATCATGACACAATATGACCCAATATGAAGATGTATAGGACACTGGGTTAGGAAGTCCACGGTGCCCCCTCTGCTGATGCATGGGGTGGGGCGGGGTGGGGCAACTGGAGAGATCTGTCATCTTGGGCCAGTCCCATCACCCCCTCTGCTTTATGAAGGCACAGAACAGGTATTCAATAGGACAAGGTTCTGACCAGGACACAGTTGGTTTTCCTATCTCCAAAAACCTGGGCTTCTGCTGGGATCTGCTGTAGTTTCCCACCAGGCCCCTCAGGAAGGCCACCAGGACCATGCTTCCACACATATCCCTCTACCCTGGCAGCAGGGCCTCCCCTCCACAGATGTGCCCCTGCACGTTCTTACTTCCCTGTCACTCCAGATAGCTCCCAGGTTTCTTGGCACCCTGCAAGACCGAGCTGGGACTCAGGCTAGAAGGTGCTGGGATCCTTCAGCTCTGGTTATGGGTCTCAGGTGGGGAAGCCCAGGCTCCCAGCCTGTTTTAGTCAGTGATCTTAGCACCCTCCCAGGGTGGAAAGGGGTTTCAGCCTAAAACTCAGAGCTTCAGCTCTAGCTCTATTGCTCTGATGGACTCACAGAACGCCCAGGGTGGGGACCAGAGGGTGGAGAGGAGAGACATTTTCTGTGATGCTTCCGTTGTTTGTCACAAGCAGAAGGATCAGATGCTTTTTGGCTAAGAGGAGGTGAAACCTGTTTTTTGGAATCAGGAAGAATGGGGACCCGATCATCCCTCACGTGCTCTGTAACAAATGCCCTTGTCGGGCTGCAAGGCAGCTGTGGTGCCCTTGGCAGTGGAAGGGGTGGTTACACTGTGCTCACAGGACACTGAGCTGGGACGGCCTCTGTGCTCCTGCATGCTCCTCTGCCCTCCCACCCCACACACACCAGACTGGTGGCTGCACAGGACACGGAGATGGACAGAGCTCACAGCGTGAAGACGACACAGCATGACGGGTACATACAGACACTGTTGTGTTTGGTGAGGACAGGTCATGGTCCAAACTCCCAGGGCTGGGTTCTGGGCTGGACTCAGTATTCCTCAGGACTAGGCTCAGAGCTGCTGGAGCAGCCTCCCACCCACTCCTGGCAGGTTTGAGATCCCTGGGTGCATACTTCGGGAATGGGCATTCAGAGGAAGGCCACTGTCTGGTTTTGGCCCAAAGAAAACACTTCTGAGCGCAGACAGTACCTTTCTGGTGTCAGTAGTGGGACAAGGCGGGCTTCACTAAGAAAATGAGACCACAGCAGGACAGACAAGAGGGATCACAGGCTGGGCGTGGGGTGGAGTTGGTGTGGAGGGTAATGGGGAAGTGGCACTCACCGGTGGCCCAGGTCTGCCGTCCAAACCTGAAGCTCCCTGGACGAAGGGCATAGTTTGACCAAAAGAAGGGGAAGGGAGAAACGGGAGGGAGAAAAAGGGAACAATGGGGAGGGAAGAGGTGAGTAAAGCAGTGACTCTGGACAGACATAAATGCTGGTAATCAAACACAATGGGAGAAATAAGCTTAGGAGGACAGGGGATGGTATTTACATGGAAACCAACAAAAACATGGAGACACTGAATGGTGTGGCCGACTGCTGAGCAGGCTCAGCAGAGACCAGTGCAGATGGCCCCCAGATTCCCTGTGGCCTCACTCCCCTTTTTCATTTTATCCTCACTCAGAATCCCCTCCCAAGGGGCACAGAAAGGAATTCACGGAGAGATATCTGGAGTCAGAGCTACACACTCTTCCCAGGATAGGGAGGGCATGGGGCCCAAGTGAAGGTGAGCGTCCCACCTCTTCCATACACTTGTTGAGGCTAGACCATGGTGGGGTCCCCTGGAGCTCAGCCTGAACCTGGGTTTGAAACCTGGGTAGAAGCTGGCCTATTTCTGCTTCGCCCCACTGGGAAGAACTAGCTCTCGAAAGATGTTTGTCCTCTCTCTGGCACTTTACAGTTTGCAAAGTTCAATACAAACTCAGCCCCTGCACAGGCTCCCAGACAGGAGCTGCTTTGCAGAAAAAGGCTCCAGAGGCAGCGGACCGGGACAGAAGTCCAAGACCATGTGTTCCCCAGAGCAAACGGGCAGGCAGGTGGGAAGCTCTGAAGACTCATCTGTCACTCAGTGTTTTCATGCCTTGCTGGGAAGTGACACTGGGGGGGTGGTGGGGAGAATGGGTTATGACACTATCCCTGCTGTCCCTGGGACCTGCCTAGGAAAACCAGAGGGGAAACTCTAAAGGTTCCCAAGTGACAAACCAGGGAGGAAGCAGCTCAGTGCGGATGGAATTCTTGAAAACTACTTCCAGCTGAGCCTCAGAAATGAGCCTAAATCTTGAGATTTTAAAGGAAGGGGAAAGTGCCAGAAAATGGAGGGCAGGGAGCAGCTTCCTCCCGGGGAAAGGGCTTGAAGGAAGCATTCCACAGGGACTTGCTTCTGTGTTAGAACCACGGACTTCTGGGAATCCTCTTGACTCACATGGCTGAGACCTGTGGTTCTCAACCCTGGCTGCAATGTTAGACTCCCTGGATGACGAGGCCAGACAGCAGTGTGCTGTGAAAACTGATGCTTTACAAGTGATCCCCTTGGGAAGGGTCTGGGTTTGTTTCCTGAGACGTCCCTGAGAACACTGGGCAGGTGCGTGCCCACAGTCCAGGGCTGATGGAAGCTCAGGGTGGATGGTGGCATCAAGATCTTGTCGGGGCTACTGTCTCTCTGTCTCTGTATCTCTCTGTCACTCTTGCTCATGAAGACATGAATAAACTTTAAAAAAAAGTATCTCCTGAGATGATGTTAAATAATACAGATGCCCAGGCCTCACCCCAGCCTGACTTAGAGCTGCAGAGAGTGGGGCCCAGGTAACTGCATGCTTGGAAAGCTCCCGGTGATTCTGGGGTGCAGTCAGCACTGAGAGCCACACCTACAGGGCAGGTAGGGGGAACCCCATAGGCTATGCCTAGAAAAACAGGCTGTTACGGTGGAATAAAACATTCGGTGCAGCCTGTAAACAGAACCGAACCTGGATCTCCACCTCCTCTGTCTACACAGCACTGATAGTCACTTGTCTTGAGAGGTCTGGAGTGGTGGGCACAAGCTAGAGGCTTTCGGGCCATGTGTGGGCCGCTGATATTCTGTGTATGGTCTGTAATGCCACCAATATTTTTGCTCTAATTGGTAGATTTCACGTGAAAAGCCAGATGGCTAGCTCCCTTTGAAAAACCAGGAGAGCCAGAAATATCAGCCCCTTCAAAACCACAGCCAGCTGAACTGAGAAGAGATACCTACTCTCTCATCCTGTGGTCTCTGCCATGCCTAATCGTCTCCTTGGAATCCATATTAGCTGTCTTCTATAAATATAAATCCTTGTTCTGCTGTTTTCTTAAGCTACGAAAAGTATTTCCCCGGACCCATGCCTCTGTCAAAAGCTGGAAAATGAAAGATGGATTGGGCACTTTGTCTTTCACCTGGCACTGTCTTTGTTTATATTACCCGTTTGGTCTCTGTCATTTATATTCAGCCCCTGTCTGAGTTCTCCATGTTGGGGCCAGGTAGGTGGACAAGCAGAGGTTTGTGGTTGAGTGGAGGCGGGGAGGCTCTTTAATGTAAGGGGTACTTATTCCTCCTGGACACAGCTCAGGACATGGGAAAATGTCTGCTAAAGTCATCAGCTTTCTGTGGTCTGTCAAGCCAATCAGCTTCTGAAACACTCCTACATTCGGTGCATTAACAAGAGTGGGATTGTACCTTTGGCTTTTGCTGTTTGGTTGCTGGGAGTCTATGAAGCAGACCTCCAAGCTCTGGGGTAATTGGACTTTCCTTTGCTCCCCTGCTCTTCATGGCTACTGGGGTGGGAACTGGCCTTGAGCCTGGGACAGAGGGAACCTGAGCGGCTGGAATGAGCTCTTGGCAAGGCTGTGGTAGGAGCAGCCTCTGCCTGGCCACAACCTCACATGTGACCTCAAGTGCCTCACTTTCTTCTCTGGGACTGTCAGTGAAATGAAAGATTGTCACTGTCTCTATCAGCTCTTGAAAACTATGCAAAAAAATGTCAACCTGTCTGGGGTGTTGGAACCTAGAGCTTTAGAATGGGTGGTGGGATGCACTCACCTGAGCACAGGTGAGGCAGTGAGAGTGCATCAGCCCTTTGGAGCTCGGAGTAAAGGACTTTACCCAGTGGAAACCCCCATAATGGAAGTAGGTGTTGTCCGAGCAGCCCCTGACTCTGACCTGGGGCCTACCACCCCAGGCAGGCAGAGGTCAGAGGTTCTCCAGGAAGCCTGGGCATGAGAAGCCTTAAGCCTGCTGGGCCACAAAACCTGGCTGTTTACATGGTTTTCTGCTGTGGCCAGTGCTTGAGAGGAGACAGCAGGGCTTCTTGTGGCCTCTCTGGGAAAACAGGAGCAAGCTTAGCCTCATCAGGGCCTCCTTGCCCCAAATCCGGTCACTTCTGGCTCTCCAGCTGAGTGTGCCTTGGGGTGGGAGTGTGTGTGTGGGGAGGTCCTGACTATTCAGCTCTGCTGGCCCAGAGGAGGCCCTTGGTAAGAGAATCAGGGCCTATGGCCCTGCCCCAGTGCAAAGCAAAGCTACTTGCAAGTCTGAGATGTTTAGAACTGCAGAATCTTGACTTGTTCAGTGGCCTTACCCTGGTGCCTGCCTAGTCCCTGGCCCAAGACCCCCAGCAGGGCTCCTTACAACAGCCTTGCTGGGTCCCAGGTACTTACGGGTAATCCCAGAGGACCTCGGTCTCCTTTTTCTCCCTGGATGCCCTTCTCTCCTTTCGCTCCATCTAGTCCTGCTTCCCCCTGGGAGAAAGGGAGACAGGAGGAGGTCTCAGGAGGGCATGTCTGCAGTCCTGTAGACAGGGGTAGAGTTTACAGAGCAGGGAGGAGGTGTGGCAGGTTGGAGACTCTGAGAATTCATTGTTTTTAATTTAATTAATTAATTAATTTTTAGGTTTTTACCATAGGGCATGTGCACTTGCTGGAAGAGATGGAGAGAAACAGTGAGAGGGAAAGGTGAGAAATCACCCCCAGGGGAGATAGGCACACGGCGATCCCTTATCCTGGACTCTGAGAATTCATTGTTTTTAATTTAATTAATTAATTAATTTTTAGGTTTTTACCATAGGGCATGTGCACTTGCTGGAAGAGATGGAGAGAAACAGTGAGAGGGAAAGTTGAGAAATCACCCCCAGGGGAGATAGCCACACCGCGATCCCTTCTCCTCCATTCTCTTCCTGGGATCTTGGGTACGCACGCACACATGCTGACTCCAGTCAGAGCCTTAACCACTACGCCACTTGTTGGTCCAAAGAATTCCTAATTCTTAGCCTGGCTTTGCCTCAGTCAGTGTCCTCAATATCCCTGTGGTAACTTATGGGTGCCGTGGGGACAAATCACAGGGTGGCTCCAGGTCAGGCTGTGGCTGTGCAGATAACATGCATGACAGGGAAACTGGGACCTTGAGATTTGCTGGCAGATGTCTGAAATGCCATCTTGGGAGCTCTGAGGCTCACAAATGAGCTGAGAGAAGAAACTGCCCCAAAGCCTCCTGCAGACAGCCAAGATAGGAGGCAAGGGCTGTTGCCATCCCACTGCCCCCAGGTCCCCTTATCCATTTGAAATGCTTTGGGGGAGACTGGGAGAGTCCCAGCCCAGAGTCCAGGGACCTGGACAGGGCTCCCAGCATATGCTGCCATGTCCCCACCTACACCTCACCATTTGCTAAGAACATAACCTGTCACTTTGTGGGGTTGATTGATAGGAAATTTCTGAACCCAAAGCATACTAGGTGTCAATTTTAGGTGTTCGGGGGTCCGTAGGACTTCTCTCTGCGCTGACTGAGCCCCACTGGCTAGAGTGACACATGCCCCATTTAGGGAAAAGGGGTAGCTGGGTCTGAAGCTCTTTCCAAAAAAACCTTCGTTCAATCGCTGATGCATCCCTGTCCGCTTCCGCCTCCCCCAGCACCTGCCACACGACCTCATCTTACCTTTGGTCCTGGAACACCTTGGAGCCCCTGCATTAGGAATGAAAACAAGCTGCATTAGAACTGCATTTCGGTACACAGCTGCCTTGTCCACAGGCTGCACCACAGCAGAGCGAGAGCTTGGAGCCTGCCCGGCGAGCTGGAAGGGAGTGCTAGGGAGTGCGTGTGCTCAGGCTTCCTGGGATAGAGTCCGAGCCAGTCTTCCTCAGCCTCTGGGCTGACAGAAAGCCTCTCTGTGGCCCCCATGGCTGACCTCGAATATCATGAAGGAAAGATTTGATGTAATCCAGCAAAAATTAAATAAATAACTTATGCAAAGTGCTCAGAACAGTGTCAGTAAGTTTCAGTAACCATTGGCTACCATCATTATTGCTACCACTGTCTCTGCCAATGACAACAGGGGACATGGTGCCTGGGATTGTGAACCATGCAGGGGCATGGGTCAGCAGTGGTTAATTTAGGGTCCTTGGGGGCCCTGGAGGTGCAATACAAAGGGGTCCCACGGTTACATTTCTGTAAGGGTGAAAAGGCCACTCCAGGAGAGCTGGTTTTCTATAGGTCATTTTCTTTATTAATCCTAGTCTTTGCGCCTGGTTAGCATGAAGGAGGAAGGCAAGGAGCAGATGTCTGAAGGCCAAGAGTTAAGTCAAGGTTATGCAGAGGTTAGTGACAAGGTGAGTCCCAGGTTGCATGCCAGCCAGCTGTTTCCGGGGACTAGCCAATACGCCTGGTGTCACTGTAATGGTGCTGTTTAACATGGGAGGGCAGAGAGGCATGAGAAAACTCCTCCCTGGGAAGAGGAGCTGATAGTGAGCCAAGGCTGAGGTTGAGCCTGAGGACTGCCAGGGGGAGGTGACATTAGGGACATGACCACAGTAGACTCCATGCTGATATGTCTTCCGAACTTACCGGAGGTCCTGGAGGTCCCTCTGGCCCTGGTGGCCCAGGAACCTAGAAGCCAAAAGGAATTCCTGTTATACTTGAAGTGGCCTTCCCTCCTGACCTGGCCCAGAATCCAGCTGGGGATGATGAGGCCAGAGAAGAACAGGGCTGCCCAGAAGAGGTCAGCCAGAGACTCCCCAACACGTTTCCCCCAAACTCCACAGGCTTGCTTAGTGTGGAAAACCAAAAACCAAACAAATGAACAAAAAATCATTGCCAGGAAATGTTCCCAATCATCTGTTCTTTCAGATGTTCTTGAAAAACCAGAAGACCCAGCAGCACTAAGTTCTCGTTCATGCGCGGCAGCGCTAGCCTGGGGTGGAATACGAGATTTCCCTTTTAGAACTGGGGTCTTCATTTTAGGAATGAGATTCAGGGCATGTGATCTTCGGTTTGCCCCAATCCCCGCCAGTCTCTATTGGCTTTAACCAAGGCTTCTTGCAGCCATTGTGGTTTGCCTCGTCCTTGTAGGCATTTGAGTTTCAGACACTTGGCTTAGAGGAGCTCAGTTATCTGGAACAGGGAGAGACTGAGATGTTTCTGAAAATATTCCTCAGGTTGCCCCCAGGATGCGGGCTGCTTGTTTCTGTTTCCCCTGAGGGCAAATTGTGGTAGAAAAGATCCTGGCTGGAGGCAGCCATGCAGCCTGGTGGCTCAGGTACCTGGATCCTATTATACATTCCCCACCTGGCCCCGGCGGCTTGAAAAACACACCATGCACACGTGTGTGCCCCAAATCCCTACAGGATGGAGAAATGGAGGAGGAGGGGTTGCAGTATGACCATGCTCTATTGGGAGGTATTTTCTCTTTCCC